GGAAATACCCTCCCTGCCACAGAAAGTAATTTAAAATAAATATTAGGCTTCTAAGACCTGAAGAGACACAGCACTAAACACCAGACACTAAAAAGAAAAAGAAAAAAAAATCTAACTGTCTGACCACCGATTAGCTAATCGTTTAGCTAAAACAATTACTTTAGTAGTCTTTTTAAAATATACAGAGCAATCGGTCATATTGCACTTTTAAAAAGGGGATAGATAAGATAGCTGTAAAAACAGAAGGAGAGTATTAATAATGAAGAAACCTGGCCCTTAGAAAGTTCCAGGTGGTTAAGTTTGCAATAAATCTAAAGAAAGCTGAAACATTATAGATTAACAGAGTTGGAAGGGACCTTGTAGGTCATGTAGCCCAACCCCCAGCCCAAGCAGGAGATCCTACACCAGTCTCTTCTTGAAAGCCTCCAGGGATGAAGCTCCCACAACTTCCGAGGGCAACTTCTGTTCCATGGGTTGATTGCTCTCACTGTCAGAAAATTCCTCCTTATTTCTAAGTTGAATCTCTCCTTGATAAGTTTCAATCCGTTATTCCTTGTCTGGCCTTCGGGTGCCTTGGGAAACAGTGAGTTTTGCTCCATTTAGCCACCGTCCTTGCTGCCCAGTTATTAAGTGAATCACTACAAGTTGAGAAGTCACGCAGTCGTTAAATAAATCTGGCTTTTCCCCCATTGACTTTGCTTGTCAGAAGGGGATCGTGTGACCCCCCCCCCCCCCAGGGACTCTGCAACCGTCATAAATAGGAGTCGGTTGCCAAGCATCCAATGTAAATCATATGACTGCGGGGATGCGGCAGCGGTTGTAAGTGTGAAAAATGGCCGTAAGTCACTTTTGTATGTAATTGTATTATGCCAAAGATATGACATTTCATGTTCAAGCCAAAAGTTTGACATTTTTACAGAGCACAAAACAATCTTGTTTTTATGGTTATATAATATTTCAGTAATATTCCAGTAATACTGCAATATTACTTGTAGAAAATACAGGTGGAAAATGGATAATGGAACAGGGATTACAAATAGTAAATGAATCTATTATGAGAAATCTAATAGAAAAAGTGCATGAGGGTACACATTGGGGAACACAAGCAATTGTAGACTTTGTTAAAAGGAAATGTATTTGTAGAGGTATGTATACAATAGCTATGCAAGTAGGTAGGAAATGTATACATTGTGTAAGAATAAATAAGAAAATAATGCGTGAACAACTGGTGGGAGGAAGAGATTTGGCCATTCCAGAGAATACAGGTAGATTATACGGAAATGCCAGCAGTGGCAACTTTGAAGTATTTGTTGGTGATAGTTGATCATTTGACTGGATGGGTAGAACTGTGAGCGCTGTGTGTAAAATATGTAAACCCAGTCACTGCACTGTCCACAAAAAATGCTGGTTGTTAAAGGAAAAACTGAAAATAATACATATACAAAAAAAGAAAGAAAGAAAGAAAGAAAGAAAGAAAAATGGTCGTAAGTTACATTTTTCAGTGCCATTATAAGTTCGAACAGTCTTTAAATGAATGGTAATAAGTCAAGAATTTCCTGTAAAGCAATTCCTTACCTTTTTAATGGTCCCCTCGCCTCTTATCCGTAGATACTTCTCCTAGTATGATTTGATTGCTTATTGTACCCTATGACTATCATTAAGTGTTGTACCTTATGATTCTTGACTCTTGATGAATGTATCTTTTCTTTTATGTATACTGAGAGCATTTGCACCAAGACAAATTCCTTGTGTGTCCAATCACACTTGGCCAATAAAAAAAGAATTCTAATTCTAATTGTTTATGCATAAATAAAAGTATTTTAATCTATTTTTCCAGTTCGGATCCCATTTGGGCAAAAGTATAGATCTCGACAACTTTACAGCTAGCACTTGTTGTTACATTACAGTCACAACAGTCCTGGCGGTTGAAATACTCCCATTTATTAAGACCTTAAAACTTACCACGCTTGGTAAATATCATACCTAAAGGCTGCCTCTTCACATATCTATGTTCTTCTGGGACAAAGCTGGCTTTTTAAATTTCCATCCTCGTGGGATCCAGGTGGTTGAGAAAATGATTTATAAGCCTTCAGATACAAAAGATTGAAAACCACGGCGCAAGAGTGCAGGAATCTTTCTGAGAAAATGATGTTCATCCATAATAATTTGGAGTAGCTTTGGGCAACAGGGTGCTGCTTAAAAGAGATGCCGAAACTTACAACCATGCAACATGGATGGGGCTACACATGCAATAACATAGGGCCTTTTAACCTTTCAGCTCCACTGTGTTGCCCACAACCATCTTACGTTCCATCCTTCCTCGTTTCCTCCCCCACCCCCCCGGAAGAGAACCGCATCTGTAAACCGGCCGAGTTGTGGCAGAGATCTTCGTGTTTTGTTCAGGCTCAAAATTAATAGCGCAGACCTTTCTGACAGCTGCATTTAGCCATCGGGGAATTTAAGCTGTCAAGTGAGGAGAAATTTGGAAGCACTTATACTTACCATAAAATAATGATTTCCCGAATCTCAACGGTCCTTGTAGAAAAAAACAAAATCCAAATCACTAATAATTTGAAGTCGATTAAAGCACAGATTTCTTCCATCATCAACCGCTAATTTAGGGTGTGCTTCTAATATTTATCCTGCTTGGAATCAGTGGTTTCATGATTATCAGTATTTCAATCAATCAATCAGAATAGAGCTGGAAGGGACCTTGGAGGTCATCTAGTCCAGCCCCCTGCTCAGGCAGGAGACCCTATACCATTTCAGACAAGGGACTGTCTGGTCTCATCTTAAAAACCTCCACCCACAACTTCTGGTGGCAGGCTGTTCCACTGGTTAATTGTCCTCACCGTTAGGAAGTTTCTCCTTAATTCCAGGTTGCTTCTCTCCTTGATTAGTTTCCATCATTTCTTGTCTTGCGGTCTGGTGCTTTGGAAAATAAGTTGAGCCCTTCCTCTTTGTGTGGCAGCCTCTCAAAAAACTGGAAGACTGCTATCATGAGCCATAGCGACGCAGTGGTTAACGAGTACAGTACTGCAGGCTACTTCTGCTGACTGCCGACTGCCTGCAATTTGGCAGATTGAATCTCTCCAGGCTCAAGGTTGACTCAATCTTCCTTCCTAGGTCGGTAAAATGAGGAGCCAGATTGTTGGGGGCAAGAGGCTGACTCTGTGAACGGCTCAGAGAGGGCTGTAAAGCACTATGAAGCAATATATAAGTCTGCTATTGCTATCATATCCCTTTTAGTCCTGTTTTACTCTAGACTGGCCAAACCCAACTGTTCTTCATATGTTTTAATCTCCAGGCCTTTATAATCATCTTAGTTGCTCTTCTCTGCCCATTTTTATTTTTTTTTTGGTTTTGTTTCAACCAACACCCGGTGGTAAGCCGTACCATGTTGCTTGATAGTTTGATTTTGCATACTGTGTGAACTTATCTCTTAGGAGTCACTTAATCTCTTTGAATCAGACAATGGCACAATAACTTGTTCCCAAAATCACGGTTTTAAAATCTTGCATTGATTTCAAGAAGATTCTTTCAGAATTGAGAGCAGAGATGGGGATAATTGAATCCATTGTTGCTGAAACGTACCTTTCAATGATAGTATCAAGAATGAATGTATCCTACATAGATCCTTCACTGGCCTTATTCCCAAATAGGACAAGAGATTACGTATGTCACATATCTTCTTCAATACGTACACTAAATATCTTACTTTGGCTTTTACGTTAAGCGTGCAGTTAAATTGAATTCACTGATGGTAAACCTAATTGCACTTGTCTTACAGATAATCCTTGATTTACAACCATAATTGAACCCAAATGTTGCATTGCTAAGGGAGACAATTGTTAAGCCAGTTTCTCCCATTTTATGACCTTTCTTGCCACTGTTGTTAAGGGAATCCCTGCAGTTGTTCCATTAGTAACAGGGTTGTTAGGTGAATCTAGCTTCCCCATGGACTTGGCTTGTCAGAAGGTTGCAAAAGGAGATCACTGTTGTGGTTTGATGACAGCTGGTGCAAACGGCAGCGGAATCGGACAGTGGGGAAGAACGGGGACCAGTCCAGGAGTGTGGAGAGGACTTGGATGAGGATCCTGCATCCGATGCAGAGATGGGGCCAGGACCATCTGGGAGTGGGGTGCTGCCTCCGGAGCCTCCAGAATCTGGCAGCAGCGAGGCAGAGGAACAAGGGGAGCCTGTTCCCAGTGAGCGTGTATGCACAGAGCTGCTAGAAGGCAAGAGCAGCTGAGACAAAACGGGCAACTCAGGAGTAAGGCTGGGAGGTAATTGCCCCTCCCATAAGGGATAAAAGTCAGGCCAAGATAACAAAACCCTTGCAGGAAGCAAAGTAGTTCGATCAATTCCGAGTCATCCTTGAAGCTCTATGTTCTTTGGTTGGTTTTTCTTGTACTTCGGTTGGTTTCTTTTCTAGTTCATGTCATACTTCTGTTTTTGGCAGCACTTCACAGAACAGAAAGGTGGGTGCTTATCTCGGGGAAGTGTTTGAAAGGTGGGTGCTTATCTCAGGGGACTGTTTGAGATTAATTCTGGCTGGGAATGAAAACAATTCCCAGCGTTGCAATAAAATAGGTTTTGTTTTGAAAACAAGTTTGTGAATAACTACGGTTTACAAAGCCTGGGTCAGAATACCAAGTCATTGACAAAGCCAGATTCACTTCACAACTGTGTGACTAACTTAACAAATGCAATGCTTCACTTAACAACTGTAGCAAGGAAGGATGTAAAATGGGACAAAACTAGCAATTGTCTTGCTTAGCAAAGGACTGTGGCTCAAATGTGGTCTTGAGTTAGTTATGTTTACCACCTTGGGTTGTTTGTAAAAATGATAAAAGGCACGATATACAAACAAAGAAACTATTTTGGTAGTTGTTCTGGGGAAAATCTTGCCGGATTGGTATCCTTTTCCATTTAAGATCTAGATTTAGTACCCTGGTTTTGGATAAAACCGATTGATCCCTTCTCTCTGTTTCTGACAGCTGTATATCAGGATAAAAGACGACGAGTGGAACGTTTATCGAAGATACACAGAATTCAGAGGGCTTCACCACAAGTTGCAGATGAGATATCACCAAGTGCGAAGCTTTAACTTCCCACCCAAAAAAGCGATCGGAAACAAGGTAATTTGTCGGGCCCTGAGAACCAAGAAATCAGGTAGAACTGTTTCTGAGCAACAGTTGTTACTCACCTAGGGCCAGAAATCTTGCCAAACTAAAGCAAACTACTTGCATTATTGAAAAGAGATCCTGGGAATTGCTAGGGAGAAAACCTTGCTGTGATAAGAGGAACTATCACCTGATATGAAAAGAACGGATCAATGAATCATATATAATCTTCAGGAAAATTAGCCTTTGTGTAAACCAAATATCCTGACTGCTCTTGGAAAGAGTGTGACACTAGTATTGGACTGTAAACAAAAGTACTGTTGGGCACCAAACCCAAGACAGAGGTGCTGTGATTCTTCCAAGCATTATTTTTAAACATTATTCTTCATCTACGGGCAGAGTCTTGCCAAATTAAAGTAGGCTGCCATCTCCATAAAGCATAGATTCAGAAGGAGGAGTCTTCACCCTCTTTCTCCCACACAAACTATCTGAACTGAGTTGTCTCTTGCTCCTCGTCAATCCGGCCCCTCCCTCCTGGGAATCCAGACTACATTCCACCACAGTAATAGTAAACGGATAATTGCTTTGAAAAGAAAAAAAAAATGCCTTTGGAAATTGAGATGTATGTTTAGCGGTATTGGGGTTATGTATATTTCCTGGATCTCAGCATTCTTCCTCTCAGCCATGGAAGATTCCTTGGTGACTCTGGCCCAGTCTCCACCTCAGCCCCAGAGCTAGCGTGGGGTAGCAGTGAAACCCCTGGATAGGAGTAGGGAGATACTGGTACATCCTCACCTGTGAAGGATTTCTGGGGAAACTCAGCCCAATACAGGTAGTCCTTGACTTACCACAAAGGTTTCTCAGCTGGCTTTTCTCTCTTAAGGGAGTGGCCATCACGTTGCAGCCTTACTCCCGAGTCGCCCGTGCTGCTGCAGCTGCTCTTTCCTTCAAGCAGCCGTATGTGCATGCACACAGGCTCCTCGGGGAACTCTTCCTCACTACTGCCAGCCTCCACAATTTCTGAAGGCAGCACTCCACTCCCTGATGGTCCTGGCCCCATCCCTGCATCACATGCAGGCCCCTCATCTGAGTCCTCGCTCTCCGACACCTCAGCCGTCCGCTCCTGCTGCCGGCGAACCACAGCACTAATAAAATCACGTCGGTCAAATAACCGACCTTCCTTACAGCTCTCAGGAGTTACGACTGTGATGCTCACTACGATCGTAACCCAAGGACTAAACTGTATACCTTAGGGTTTCGTGCCTGAGCAAGGGGCTGGACTAGAAGACCTTCGAGGTCCCTTCCAACTCTGTTGTTCCGTTTCTGTTACCCTTCGTTGCTCTCATGCCCACGCCCCAAATACAAGAGGATTCGTTTGCCGCCTGTCTAAAAAAGTCCAGCCTCTCCGTTTCTGAATCTCCTTTATCAGTTCAGGCATATCTTTTTTTTTTTCCCCCACAAATGCTGCATCTTTTATTTAAAAAAAAAACAAAAAACCAAACTCTGCTCTGCAGCTTTCCTCGTCTCATTAGTTCTTATTAGAACATTTTTACACTTTTCCTTGCGAGGCTCTTCCTCTTCCCCCCCCCCCTTTTAAAGCCACCCAAACCCGTAGAAAGCTGAGCGTTACGGAGAGAAGTAGCATCAATTCCACTTTGGATACCCCTGTCTTTCCCCCCCGCTTTTTTTTCTCGTGCCAAACAAATGAACGCTGCTACTTTGAGCCGCAACTCGGTGGCCGTCAGGATCAGCTCTGCAAGAACCTGAACATTTATATTAACTTGAAGCGAAACATTTTCCCTCCACTTCTTTCTCTTGTGACGCTAGAGGACAGAGCTATTCCAGAGAACCACTCCTGTGTGGAGGTGCAAGCCCTTGAAGTGGGGGAAGTGACCCCCAAGGCCTTTGGGCAGAGGCCCCTGTTTAAGTGGTCTTTCCTTAAGCTTTGGGTTGGCTGCTCCCCGGATAGTCCTCGTCTAACAACCGTTTGTTTAGTGACTGTTGTTCGAAGTTACAACGGCACTGGGGGATCAAGGGGGCAGGTTTCGTGGGGAAAGAGGAGGAATATATCCGTGGGGGTCCTTGAGGCTCTCTGAGCGTTTTTGTTTTGTTGCAGACAAAACTAGGTAACATCATCAGTGCCAGAAGAGAGAGGGGTTTGCTTTCTGTTTATGTGCTCCCTGTCAAGGCAGGCCACTTGTATATAAAAAGAGAGCAACTCCCTTCTCCTTCTAGCACTGATGATGTTACCTAGTTTTGTCTGCAACAAAACAAAAACGCTCAGAGAGCCTCAAGGACCCCCACGGACATCTTCCTCCTCCTCCCCCCCCCCTCCCCCCCCCCCCCCCACTGCACTCCATTGTACCACTGACCACGTTCCCTAGTTTGGTGATCAAACACCTGCAAGAAAGCTGCCATGCTCAGAGAGACCATCAAGGACCCCCACAGTTCAACCCTGAGCTACGAACATTCTCTTCAGCAGGAAGATGTCTTTATACAAAGAGGTGTGTGGACGTGTGTAGGAAACTCATGTTGCCCAACTTCTTCACGAGCGCCCTGTGAGTTTTCCTCTGGCGCCCCTGCCTCTGACTTGATCTGAGTTCTCCCTTCCAGAAGCTCAGGCCACAGATCTTAGCCAAGACCGAACACTGGGACTTCTCAGCAGGGTAATTTAGATGAATTTATCAGCCCTGCTGTTCGGAGTCTGGTTGTGGATATTTACGCATTGCACATTGCCATCAGCCGATGTCTCAAAGAGAAGAACAGCCTGTTAGAACAATGTCCTGTGTGCATCTGAATATATTCTTAGCATGTGGGGGGGAAAAAAGCCGCTATTCAAAGCTATCACGTCTCAGGTCTACTAGCATAGACATAAAATATCGCTAATACTGTGCATGGTTTAGTGCTCGGAAGCCTTATTAAGGAAATGCCTCCTGAAAGTATTTGCTTAACATCTAAGCTTTATTTATTTAAAATGTAGGGTTTCCCTGGCGATGGAGCTCCAGTTGGTTTTAAAATGAAAAATACAGTGAAAATACAAAAAAAAAAAAAAATTGCCTAAAATACGACAGTGGCATTACAGTGGATGCAGGAGGCTCTGTTGTTTATAAATATTTGGTGGCGCAGTGGTTGGAGTGCAGTACTGCAGGCTACCTCTGCTGACTGCCGGTTGACTGCAATTTGGCAGTTCGATTCTCACCAGGCTCCAGGTTGACTCAGCCTTCTGTCCTTCCGAAGTGGGTAAAAGGAGGACCAAGATTGCTGGGGGCAAGAGGCTGACTCTGTAAACTGCTTAGAAAGGGCTGTAAAAGCACTGTGAAGCGGTATATAAGTCTAAATGCTCTGGCTGTTGCTGTATACATGTATACTCCATTTGTAACTCGAAGTTACAAAGGCATTGAAAATAGTGGCTTAGGACCGTCTTTCACGCTTACAACCATTGCAGCACCCCTGTCATCGTGGGATCAAAATTCAGTTCAGTTCAAACTGAAGAAGCTTCTTGGATGAGAAGGGAAATGTCTTTAAGGGAGAAAAAAAAAAAGTCCAGTCGCCTTTGAGACAATAGCAATAGCATTTAGACTTATACATCGCTTCACAGTGCTATCCAGCCCTCTCTAAGGAGGAGGAGGAGGAGGAGGAGGAGGTGGAGGCGGTCGTCTGTGGGATCCCTGGTGCTCTCTGAGTTTGGTTATTTTCTTGCAGACATTTCATTACCCAACTAGATAACATCATCAGTGCTAGAAGGGTGTGACGTTTGGGGAGGGGAGGAGCTTGGTTGTTTTTTTGGGAGGTTATAACTTCCCAGCCTAGCCTGGAAAGGAGGTTCTGTCGTGGAGCCTGTCCAAGGTTTTTGGGTGTTTAGAGAAGGCCTTAATGACGCTTCCTACCCCTGTCACTATCGCTTGTTTTAGGAAGAACCAGAGTCTTGTGAATGGAGGTCATCCTCCCCTGACAACTCTTTTGCCCCAACGGATTTGTTTTTGAGCTTGTAGGAACGCATGGAGATATTATTTACACGCGGCAATTCAGGTGTCTGTTCTTTTTCCACTGAAGTGTTTTTCAGCCTCACGCATTCAGCTCAACGGTAATCAAATATTATATTTCCGCTGGAAAAGAAGACGGGTTCTGAAAAGCAGAGGTCAAGGTTTGATATTTGAACAGGCAACTCATTTCAGTTTGAATCTGGATGTTCTCTGTTCAGGAAGAGCAAAGCATGAATGACAAACTTTCTTCCTTGGCTGGTGGGCTGTTGCAATTCAGTGGCTTTGAGTCTTTCTCTGTTGCTTTGTTAAAGAGGAAAGACCATCTGTAACCGTCACAGGTCAAAAGCAGAGACAATTGTGAACAGTTTTTTTTTTTTTTTAAATAAAATTTTAGGAGGAAAGAAAAAAAAAATACACCGTTGCAAATTTCCCCAAGGGAGAAGGTTAATAAAACTTTCCAAGCGTTAATTCTTTTCGAAGTGTACCAATCAATATTTAAGGTTTTGATTTATGAATACGGTCACTTTTGCCATCTTTTGGCAAGGGAAAGGAACCAATTATGAAGTCATTGATTTATGGATAGGGGCTATTTTCTTTCCTGCATATGCTCTCTGTGTACATAAAGAAAAAATAAAATACATTTATCAAGAATCATAAGATACAACACTTAGTGATAGTCATAGGTTACTAAGAAAGCAGTCAAATCATACTAGGAAACAAATAAAACAATATAAATTGTAAAGATGCAATCAACCAAATCATGCTAGGAAACAGTCAATATAAACTGTATCTTTACAATTTATATTGACTGTTTCCTAGTATGATTTGGTTCCTTATTGTATCTATGACTATTATTAAGTGTTGTACCTGATGATTCTTGACAAATGTATCTTTTCTTTTATGTACACTGAGAGCGTTTGCACCAAGACAAATTCCTTATGTGTCCAATCACACCTGGCCAATAAAGAATTCTATTCTAACATGGTTATAGTCATAAGTGGGAAGGACGAGAAGAAGAATATCTTATTAAGT